TCGGAGGGCGGCGTTCCAGCACTGTAGCCATTCTGGCGCAGCTGCGGGAGGGCGATAAACCACTCCAAGGGTGAGACTGGTGGAACCAGAGCCGCGGACGCGAATCCAGAGTGATTCGGGAAGAGATAGTAGTTCCGGAGATTTGAGAGGGACGCATGTGAGGCGGTCTGATACATACACAGCTACGCCTCCGCTTTTGCCGCTTTCACGATCGTTTCGAAAGAGCACGTATCCCGGGATAGCTACCTCGGCGTCCACAACGTCTGGGCAGAACCAGGTTTCGGTTATACATATAACTTTAGCTTGCGTGTCCAGCGCAAGGGAAGAGATTTCGGACACCTTGTTCCGTAGCGATAAAGCGTTGGTGTACAAGCAGTTCCACGTGCTGACGTGAACTGCTGGCGGGCAGTGGCTTGAAGGCATAGATGGTAGAGTAGTTCCAGTGTGGTTTACGCCGACCCCACAGGGGCCGGCGCCTACTCGTTTTTTGGTATATCCACAAGTCGCGTAATAGGTAGTGATGGCGTGGCTCGGCTGAATGGCGTGAAATTACGTCCCTGAATTTGCCTGCGCTCCTCCCGCGGTTTGTCTGGATGCATCCTGACTTCGTACGGGAAGTTTCCACGTAGCTCGTACCACCGTTGTAGTACAGTCTGGCGCATCTCAGGAGTGAAAAGAATGACCCTGAGCAGTTTAGGCGTCTGTATCTGCGAGAGGTGAGCTGGCCTCGGCAGCCGGTAAACAGACCACGCCCCACAGTTGTCCACTGATAGGTTAAGCTGCGACCGAATATAGCACCACTGCTGGACATCGTGGCGGGATGATTCAACCGGGTCGGCAGTGTGGAGTTCTGGGACTCCGTGTATAATTATACTGCAAGCTCTATCGTGGTTGGCGCACGTGCTGTTGATACGCGCCTCTCTTCTTGCCTCCCTCACAACCCAGGGAAAGTCTGGCTGGGCGCGGATCTTTGTGTTCAGTTTATTCAAGCAAGCCGATGCCAAGAGCGTTTCCTCGACGTCATCAGCACTTTCCAGAGTGACGCGTAACGGCCTTGGGCATTTGTCACCTGGTGAGCGGGGTGCGCGTAGACGGCAGAGAGAGGGCGAGGAGGTAGGCGGCAGTCCAAGGAGTTGCCGCAAGGATTGCCATTGGGATAGATCGGCACTGGCTCTGTGGGATAGTGACGGGTGGTCGCTCTCGTCCACATTGAACAGTATCAAAGTTTTGCGGTTGAATTCTGGCAAGCCACTGCTCCGAGGCGTATTGGTGCCTTGGCTGCATTGTGAGGGCCTCGGCTGTGTAACATGTGTGAACTGGGGACCTGGGTTCTCCTGCGATTGCATGGCGCACTGAGTGTGCTTGGCGCAGTTTTTAGCACGGTGTTTGTCCCTCGATTGTTTGGGGGGGGGGTTGCGACATTTGCACCGTGGGATTTCGACACTGGTTCCTGTGGTCTGCTCACTTGCTGGCGAGTCATCCGTTAGTTCCCGGGTGTTGCTCCCATCTGTAATCAGAAACGGACGCGGGTCGCGTGGAGGAGACGAGCCAAGGACCATAGGTATGGTGTCGTCCAGCTCCTGTTCACCGGAGACTATTCCTGCAGGCAGAGGGTTGCTTGGGCAAACACAGTCGAAGTCTTGAGGTTGTGGTGAAGATGTAACTGAGATGTCGACTGATGCCAAGTCACGAGTATCAACGCCTACGTTTGCTACTAAAACGCCAGAAGGCAAGTCACAAGTGTCGACGCCTTTAGCTGTGGACTTCGTCGAGACTTGCAAATCCCTGTAAAAGTTTCTAAAGGCTGCCACATCTAGAGAGCCAATAGGGCTGTTTTTGAAGCCTCTATGAAGTAACTCTGCGCAGTCATTGCAAACCCACTTAGCTTTGGTATGTGAAGTGTAGAAGTCCACCTCCGGCTGTGTGAGTTTAGCACAGCGCCCGTGGTACTGTCGCTTGTAACAAAGACAGCGAACATGTGGTGGCGACTCGGAGTGACAAACGCAGCATGTACTGTTACGTGCAACTGTTGGCATCGGGACGTTGATCCGATGGTGATTAGAGTGAATACAGTAAACAATGTAGATGACAAGATGGGAAAACGACTTAGGGGATTCAAAAAATTACACACGAGGTACTATAAACGGTTATGTACAAGCAAAACAGCAAGCGATAATGACCTAATGCAATCAGAACAGCAGATACGGATGTAAACAGAGGAAAAAAGACCCGGAACGGACTCACAGCGGATTCCACTCCACTTCAGGTCTTGATGACAGCAATCCGATCTTTGGGGGCGGTACAACAAAGACGGAGAAGCGACTTCATTCAGGTAGGAGACGTCTCACAATATCGATCCAAGGTATCTTAGATCAAAGAAAATTTGACAATAGTCAAATTTCACTTCACGTGTTTATTCAAACACCGTTTTCCACAATATTTCAGCTAAAAATCTCGATCGTGTTAGGCTGGAAGAGTGGTTCCATGCACTCTGTGTGGAACGGACTACTGTCCATCCACCGCCTTGTGTGCGCTTGATTCCCCAACTACAGCGTGCTTGTGTTTGCTTGTGAAGGAGTATGGGCCGGCTCCGTTGATGAAACGTGGCTCCCATCCACATGTCTCTCGGTCTTATTCCTTCGGGTTTACCGTCACAACGAGACTGGACCTTAACGTGGTGCGACGGTTTGCGTACCTCATTGACCCATTGAGCTATACTGGGTGATGCCTCCGAGCATCTTGGGAGCTACTCCTACCAGGTTGGTCAATGGTGAGAGGTCAGACAAACTCAGTCTCCTGGTCCTCCAGGTTGGAGGTTTGAAATGGGATGGCGTCCATTTCTGTAAAACTAAATCACTGCCACTCCGCTGCCTTGCGGACAGGCTTTTGAGCCGAAGGCTTTGGATGAGGACCCTAGTCGTCCTCCTGTCTAGGTTTGGGCGCCCTGGCAGTATCCCAGCCCACATACAACCATGACATTTTCTTCAAACATAAACTTCATCCTGCATCGGCCGTCGCGCAGATTATCAAGGGTCGCCTTATCTGCTGCATACAGCAGGGCGGATAAGCGAAAACATGCTACTGCTGGCGCCTCCCTTCTTTCTTTTCCACCTTTTTCTCTTACTCCCATCCCGGCCCCCATTACTAACCTTCCTTCTATAATTCCCAGCTTAATTGACAGCAATCGAAGTGCTACTGGAGTAGTACCATCTGCAGCCACCATCCCACAGCACCTATCGGACGCCTATCGGCAAAAGTCCCTTATAAGGCCACACTGTCCCGTTTCCATGGCGACATTCAACGTCCGCACTCTAAGACAAACAGGTCAGCAGGCTGCACTCGCACGCACCTTGGACACACTGGGTGTTGATGTGCGTTGTGTGTCCGAAACTAGGATTAATGACACTAACGGGGTTACTGAATTAAGTGCACCCGGCTTATCCTCTTGTTATTGCTTGCACGCATCCGGAGACGCCGATGCGGCACTCACGGGTCAAGCTGGTGTAGGTATCATTCTCAGCTCCAAGGCTGAGTCATCGTTGGTTGATTGGATTCCGGTGAACAGCCGTTTATGTGCAGCCGTTTGACGACATCAGCTAAGGTGAATTCGCGAAGTAAAACAAAACGCTGTTTGTTTGTGATTTCCGTTTATGCTCCCACCGACTGCAGTTCTAATACAGTCAAGGACACTTTCTATCACGAACTGAACGGGCTACTACGCAGTGCTACTAGTTCAGATATTATAGTACTTGCAGGGGATATGAACGCACAAGTAGGGCGTCTGGGCTCTTCAGAAGCTCAGCTGGGTGGTAATTATGGACTTAACTCCGAACGGACTGACAACGGCGAGCGTCTGCTGCAACTGTGTGCGGAGCACCAGTTGTTTCTCAGTAGCACTGCTTTTAGACACAGTGGGCGCCGAAGTGCCACTTGGCGTCCACCTGCAGCTGGCCAGCGATGGACCCAAATTGACCACATAGCCATAAGTTACAGGTGGCGCGGTTCCATTCTGTATTGCCGCTCGTACTGGAGTACCTGTGTCGACTCTGATCATGCCTTGGTGCGCTGTCGTTTCTCCATGAACTTTACCGGAAGGTGCACAAAGCGTCTCCCCCGATTGGCAACAGAGAAATTGTCTGAGTCCTCTGTCAGGCAAGCCTATCAAGAAGCACTGCTTAGCGAACTCCCGCTGTCTTGTCCTAATGACACTGAACTTCAATGGAATAGGATCTCGGCCGTCATGCACGACGCAGGAGCATCTGTTTGTGGCACTACCAATCGTCACCGCACCAGTCACTGGATATCCGAGAGGTCGGTGAACCTGTTGGAATCTAGAAGAAACCTCCCGACTGGCTCTGAACACAATGTGACCAGACGGGCTATTAGGCGTGAACTAAAGCGGAGCCTACGTGCTGACAAGGAAGCCTGGTGGACCAGTCGGGCTCAAGAAATGGAGGAGGCAGGAGCATTAGACAGTTACCTGATGCTCTTCCAGCTAATCCGCACCACTGGTCCCAGAAAACCAGGCGTCAGTGAGACAATCAGAGACAGCGCGGGTGCGCTGATACACGATAAGGAGCGCCGTATGGCTCGTTGGGCTGAACACTTTGAAGATCAGTTCAGTTGGCCCCCTGCTCCCGGACCTCTTCTTACTCGGGTGATGCAGGACGATCCATGGACGGTTAGCTTAGAGCCTCCGTCGGAGGCCGAGGTCCGAAAGGCGATCACAGCCCTCAATCGTTTTCGTGCCGCTGACCCGGATTCCCTCCCACCTACACTATTTAAGGATGGAGATGAGGTCCTCTGCAGGGCACTGACCTCCCTATTCGAACGTATCTGGAACGAAGAGAGTGTGCCGGCTAATTGGAGCGAATCGATTATAGTGGCAATATACAAGGCGGGCAGTCACACAGGCTGTTCTAACCAGTTGTGACAAAATTACTGGCCTAGATTCTCCTTCGTTGTCTCACTGTGGAACAGTATTTCGGATTAGGGAAGGGTGTCGGGGTTCCCACTTGTTGGATTTTGGTAACGCCTTTTGGTTGCGGAGTTCCTGGTTTAATAACCCGTCATTCTCGGATGCCAAAAGGGATTTAATACGTGTATTCCCATAAATGTATTTTTGGAGCTCCCAGATGTTATACACGAGGCAGTCTAGAGTCAGCCGGCTATTCAAAAGGAAAATTGATCGATGTATGAAGCGTTTGAAAGAATAGTCGATACAGCTGGCAATATTATCAGCTGACCGGAAGGTTATGTAATGAAAGGTGAAAGAAACACTACATACCTCCCCACCAGTGCGCTAGTCGCACGATGTTCAAGCGACCAGGAGTAAAAAACCCGGTGGGAATAGCCGGTAAAAACTGACCTCTACCTGGTACAGTGTCGCATGAAATACCCGAGGCTGAGGTATGGGAGGCATGCAGGCTAATATTCTGTGTGTAAGGTACAATGAAAGATTTGGGAGCAGTGCAGGATGGTAAATGCACGGATGTTAGATTTGTCTAGACTGGAAAATCCGCTTCTTCCTCGTGCGAGATGTTCAGTTGCATTCTGGCGGAATCTGGAGAAAAACAAACAGGAGGAGACTGGCAGCAAGCGATACTAGCAAGTGATCAGCAGAACAAGATGATATTGTCAAGATGTGTGATACACTAAGCGGTCTGGAAAATGGACTCGCCTTCCTGACCGTGTCTGCCGCGTATTAATGTCTCCTTGTGGCTTAGCTTTAGATGTTACAAGCTGCGGGTCATCTTCAACGAGCTGTGGTGTCTGCTGCGTACACGGTGTCGAGTAAGAATCAGTAGATTGTTGTTTACAAGGTTTTTCGATGTACGCTGGTTTAAGACGATCTACGGAAACCGCATCGACTTTACCATTCTTGTTGATCATATGATGTTTTTCGGTTCTAGCGATCACTTCGAATGGTCCTTCGTACGGTGGTTGTAATGGCTTGCGGACTGCATCATTTCGTACCCACACGTGTGAACAAGTTTCGAGATCTTTCGGTATGTAACACTTATTGGTGTGTGCGCGTGTGGGGATAAAGTGCAGTTCACGCATAGATGAACGTAGCCGATGGACAAAGTTTGAAGGATCTATAGCGTCGATGTCGGTCGGTTGAACGAGATCAGCCGGGAGCTTTAACGTGGTACCGTATACCAGCTCCGCGGTGGAGCAACCTAAATCAGCTTTAGGTGTCGTTCGAAGACCTAATAAAACCAGCGGTAAGGTTTCTGTCCAACGGGTAGTGTCGGAACATGCCATCAAAGCTGTTTTGAGATGACGGTGGAAACGTTCGACTAACCCGTTCGATGATGGGTGGTACGCAGTTGTTCTTATACGCTTGGTTCCGAGAGTATTGGTTAATTCTCGAAAAAGCGTCGACTCGAATTGCGCACCGCGATCAGTTGTTATGGTGGATGGTACACCATAATGCGCGATCCAATGAGCCACAAAGTTATGTGCTACCGTCTCTGCAGAAATGTCTGCGATGGGTACTGCCACGGGCCAACGAGTGAAGCGATCGATGCAAGTCAATAGGTACTTGTATCCACTCGACGGCGGCAGTGGACCAACGGTGTCTATGTGCACATGACTGAAACGAGCATCGGGAACGGTGAAGTTGCCAAGTGGTGCCTGAGTATGCCGTTGCACTTTTGAACGTTGGCATGGGAGGCAGTTTCTCACCATGATCTGCACGTCTTTGTTTAGTGCTGGCCACACAAAGCGATCAGAAATAAGCTTGCGAGTTGCGCGGATGCCTGGATGTGATAGACCGTGGATTGAATCGAAGATGATTCGCCGATAGTTTGGTGGTACGACAGGTCGTGGTTTTCCTGTCGAAAGATCACACATCAGAACATCCGAACTACCAGGCAGCGGAATGGCTTTCACTTGAAGATTGGTTTCTTGCAGTTGTTGAAGAAACTGATTATCCTGATGCTGCGCTGTGGCTAGTTCTTGGAAGTCAATGGAGGAATGTTCGAATAGAGCGTTGATTTCCGCCCTTGATAAGGCATCTGCTACGGCGTTATTCGCGCCGGACAAATGCCGTATGTCAGAAGTAAATTGGGAAATGTAATCTAATTGTCTAGTTTCTCGTGGGGAAAGACGATCAGAAGCAGAACGCAGTACATACGTTAACGGCTTATGATCGGTGAATATCGTGAACGTACGTCCTTCCAAATAATGTCGGAAATGACGCACATTGAGGTAAATAGCTAAGAGTTCTCTGCTGAACGTGCTATAACGTCGTTCGGCAGGCTGCAATTTCTTAGAGAAAAAGGCAATTGGATACAATTCACCTCTCTGTCTTTGTTGAAGCACACCACCTACAGCTGCATCTGAGGCATCCACCGTTAACTGTAACGGGGCCTTAGGATCCAGATGCACAAGAAGAGTGGCAGTTGCTAGCTGTTGTTTTAGCTCGCTGAATGCGTGTTTAGCTGATTCCGTAAAGCTGAATGTTTTAGCATCTAATTTGAGTAGTTCGGTAAGTGGCTGGGCTAACTCTGAACAGTGCGGGATGAATCTTCGGTAGAAGTTAACCATGCCAACGAACCGGCGTAACTTTTTGATGGAATCAGGTATGGGATACTCAGTGATGGCTGTCACTCTATCCGGTAGGGGTGCAATTCCAGCGGAGGAAACACGGTGACCAAGAAAGTCTACCGTATCAACTCCTAACTGACTCTTGGCGGCGTTGATAACTACCCCATAATGCGCAAATCGTTCGAAAAGCTGTCGCAGATGACGCAAATGTTCGTCATGATTTCGACTTGCAACTAAGACATCGTCGATGTAGACGAAAACGAAGTCCAGCTCGCGAATGACCTGATCCATAAAACGTTGAAACGTCTGAGCTGCATTACGAAGACCAAATGGCATTCGCAAGAACTCAAATAAGCCAAAGGGAGTAGTGACGGCAGTCTTAGGTACATCTTGAGGATGAACGGGAATTTGGTGGTATGCCCGTACTAAATCTATCTTGCTGAACACTTTCTTTCCGTACAGCGAGGATGAGAAATCCTGGAGATGCGGAATGGGGTATCTGTCTGGGACGGTGATGGCGTTCAGTCCCCTATAATCCCCACATGGTCTCCAGTCTCCAGGTTTATTCTTCGGGACCATATGTAGGGGCGATGCCCACATACTGCTGGATGGACGTATTATGCCCAATTGTAACATATGATCGAACTCGGCCTTCGCTACGGAAAGTTTATCTGGCGCTAGTCGCCGAGGACGATGAAATACTGGACTGCCTGCTGTCGTTATCCTATGAACGATCTCATGTTTGATATCACCAGGATGATATCCGGGCTTCGTTATGCTGGCAAATTCGCGCAACAGATCCAAATACATCGAAGAAGCTTGAGGCGGGACAAGCTGCGGACTCATAGACATTACGGAGCTCTTAAAACCAGCCTGTGATAGTTGCGTTAGGCCATCTATGATCTGACAGCGCTTAGGATCTACGATAATACCATAGTGCTGAAAGAAGTCAAGGCCTAATATTGCAGTAGGCACTTTAGCTATGATGAAAATCCAAGGAAAGGATCTACGGAGACCGAGATTTAGAGTGATAGAACGTTCTCCATAGGATCGGATTTGTGTGCCGTTAACTGCTTGGAGGCTGTATATCGAGCAGTGTTTCAGGTCTTCTGGACGCGGGGGAACTACACTGACTTGGGCACCCGTGTCTACGAGGAATCGCATGCCGGATGTTACGTCCCGCAAGTAGAATAGGCGACCTGGCTCGCATATGCCAGCTTGCGTCGTCGCCATTACGTGCTGGCGTGGTCGTTTCCCGAATCGGAAAACCGACACGGTTTCACGCACTTTTTCGCCTTGTTGCGGAACCTACGGTGGTACCAGCATATGCCACGGAGACGACTAACACTCCGAGTACGCCGTTGATTAGATCGGGAGTTGCTCCTTCGTCTGGTGATGGTAATGGAAGCCAGTTGTTGTTGCAAGGAGCGTACGGCTTTAACGAGTTCGTCGTCAGGTGTACGAGGTGATAAGTTTGAGATCGTTGGCGTTTGTATCTCCATTATCTTATCAGCCATAAGGGCTAAATCTTTTAGTTCGGTATCCTGGTGGGCGTTAGCCAGAATCTGTTGTACATGTACAGGGAGCCGTTGCATAAATAGCTGCTTAAAAATGGAATTCTCTGGAGGGTTTTCACCTACCAAAGCTTGCATGGCTCGTAATAGTTGCGTAGGAGTGCGATCGCCTAACTGCTCTTCATTAAGTAGACGCTGCACTCTTTTACGCTCACTAAGGCTAAGCTCACGGATTAACAAGTCTCTTAACTGTTGGTATGTACTGCTCGTTTTTAGGATATCCTGCGCCAGGAGCAACATTTCAGGTGGGAGTCGGGAAATAACGTGATGAACCTTTAAGGCATCCTTATGTATGCGATTGATTTCAAAAAATGACTCGGCCTGCATAAACCATAGCTGGGGATACTGTATCCAAAATGTTGGTAAACAACTAGTAGATACGGTGTTAATTTCCCCTGGTTGCTGGTCAGTCATATTAGCATACATGAAATGGTGGAATTATGACGAAATTGGATACGACTCACCGGATGATGTTTGCTGAGTCGAAATATCCGAACTCACGTCGGGTCAACCACTTGTCGGGGTTCCCACTTGTTGGATTTTGGTAACGCCTTTTGGTTGCGGAGTTCCTGGTTTAATAACCCGTCATTCTCGGATGCCAAAAGGGATTTAATACGTGTATTCCCATAAATGTATTTTTGGAGCTCCCAGATGTTATACACGAGGCAGTCTAGAGTCAGCCGGCTATTCAAAAGGAAAATTGATCGATGTATGAAGCGTTTGAAAGAATAGTCGATACAGCTGGCAATATTATCAGCTGACCGGAAGGTTATGTAATGCAAGGTGAAAGAAACACTAAAAGGGCATGCAGATTTCCGCCCATGGCGTGGCCTTATAGACCATATAATCACTATGCGGCAGGTGCTAGAGCAACGCCACATATATCGCAGACCGACAATAGCTGTGTTCCTCGATTTCAAGAGTGCGTTCGATTCAGTCGATCGATCGATTCTGTTCGAAATACTTGCGCGGAAAGGTGTTCCCACGAAATATGCGAACATCCTTCGTGCTCTATACTCGAACACTACAGGCCGCGTCAGGGTCCACGGTGCCCTGTCGGTTAGCTTTTCGACTACAAGTGGTGTCCGTCAGGGTTGTCCGATTTCCCCATTTCTGTTCAATTTCGTTCTGGATTCTACCATCCAGTGTACCCTTGCGGAATCTCACGATGTAGGCGTTGAAGTGCTGCTTGGTGAAAGGTTAGTTGACCTAGATTATGCGGACGATATCGTCTTGCTTTTCGACGATGTTGGGGCGGCACAATCAACCCTGAATATCCTGTTCAGAATGGTCCCATTATTTGGTATGCATTTCGCACCTTCAAAGCGCAAAGTGTTGCTGCAGGACCACCAGTCACTTGATTACCCCTTGACGCTTGCTAACGTGGAACTCGAGGTGGTAGATCAATTCACTTATCTTGGAAGTAGCATCAGCGAAGATGGGCGCATAGAAACTGACGTCATCTCACACATTGCAAAGGCCAGTGCTGCCTGCTTGAACCTGCGACATCCTTTGCGACAGAAGAGAGTTCCCCTACGTCTGAAAGGCCGTGTATACAAGGCCACAGTGAGGGCCGTTCTGCTGTATGGTAGTGAGACTCGGCCTCTTCGGTCTGAAGATCTGAGGCGCCTTCAAGTCTTTGATCATCGTTGTCTGCGAAGGATTGCAGGTGTCGGATGGCATCAGGGTGTCCGCAACGATGATGTGCGTAGGCGAGCACTTGGTAGTGATAATCATGCTAGCTCCCTAGAACAACAGATAGCACTGAATAAGTTGCTTTGGCTCGGGCACGTGCTACGTATGCGTGGTCATCGCTTACCTAAGTGGGCCTTGTTTAGGTTGCCAGGTGTAGGGTGGCGCAAAGCTTGAGGTGGACAGAAGTTGACTTGGCAGGGGTAAGTGAAGTCACTGACAATCAAGCTAGGTGCCGTTGGTCCGTCTCGTCTTTCGGGCTGGAGTCCACGTGACTCACCTTGTGCTTGGTTCGAGGCTTTACAGGACATGGCTTGCAACCGACACCAGTGGCGCATCTGTTGCCGTCTCCTAATTGGATTGCCTGTTTAAAGTGTTTTTGGTGTTGAGTTATCTGCGGGGTAATGGCTGATTATGACACGTGGCAGTGAAATCCGCAAGGAAGTTGTCTGGCCGATGCCGCTTTATCTTTGCACGATAGCCAGCTGTTTGTGACGGTATGTTGTCTACACAAGGTGTAGGCGCCTTGACCCTGAATGTTTGCTTAGGGCATTAAGGTTTTCAGGTAAGTCCCTCTTCTCTCCCTCTTCTTATTTATTTCATAGGTCATCATGATTGTATGGCAGCGAGGCGTCAGTTCAGATGGCTGCTGTACTGTTGTTGTTGTTTGTTGTGGCGCATTGGTTGCTTCCTTTGCCCTTACACAGTGGTAGTACAGGGACATACCTCAGCCCTGGAGACACCTCCTCAATCCCCACGCGTTGCACCAATTGGTGCAGCGAATTCACCAACGCAGCTCCACCGTGTTTCAATACTTCAGGCGGGATCCAGTCATCACCGGCACACTTGCCACTTCGCAGCTGAGCAAATGTTCTCTGCGTCTCGTCCACTGTCGTTGTGTGCGCCAGATTCAACTTCACCTCGTGTTGTTCTAGGCCGTTCCATATAGGCTAGTCAATCTCTGAACGGTTATTCAAGAGACAGTGAAAATGCGTCCGCCAGATCTGCATTATGTGTGCAGTTTCCGTGCATATGGGGCGATGGTAAGGGACGTTCTTTATGCCAGGGAAACCTGGTCCTTTCACTTTGAGAATTTTAGTAGTTTTCAGATCTTCGGCGATCGTTGGCTGCGAAGTATTGATTTTTCCGAATGATGCGGGCATTTCCGAAATGATAAGGCGTGTGCGTGGGTACTTGCTGGCGACGATAAGTTCACAACATTATATCACCTGCGACCTATGTTAATTGCCTACTTCTTAACAAGAAAGGTGTAGTTCTCTTTGCCCTTTCTCTAGTAGTAACATAGTGTTCTGAGTGGAGTCCTGGTATTGAAAAATGGTATCACGCCGTTGGCTTATCCGAGCTACTTGCTTGGTTATGACAGTACGCTTCTGGAAATCGGTGTAAGCGGCTCGCTTGCTGCCATTTTTCATTTGGTTTGCTCGCTAAACTAAGGTGTCGTTCTGCGTCTACTGTAATGAGGTTGATTAATAAGTGAAACAGATAACTTCAGGACAGCTCAGTCACTTGAATGTCTATAATCTCACGACGTTTTTAATGTGTGATCAGATTGATTATGAATTTACGTCCAGTACGTCTAGGTCCTACATCAGCTCCACGTACTCTGTTCTCGCATTCTCCACCATCATAGTAGCCCTCTTAATTCATAATTGTACTGCGTCGAGCATGCATGTTACCACGTACTGATGATCGTTTGATGTCTGAACTGATCAGGTCGCAGCCACACTTTGTTACTGGAGCACATACTCGGTGCCAAGACATCGCTCAAGTATACATGTACCATTCCTCTACGTTACTAGCTTTGAACTCACTAAAGCTGTCATACTAGTTTAAGGGAGCAATAAAACATTACCAACCAGTTTCGCGTCCTGCGACGTCATTATCACGTTTCCCGGCCTAATGGATCGTGATTTCCCTCAAGTCATCCAACAAGTCTGCCGACCGAACAAGCCCATATCAACAAAACCGCTTGATATCGTTTGAGTCCCCAACGGTTTGTGCTGCATTCCTGATATCTAACCATACTTCGAGGTGATGGGGACCATTGTACTGTGGCAGAAATTCAAGTGTCTTACTGGGACACGGATATATCGTCTTGCCCAAGTAAAACTGGTTGATTAGGATATAGTTTCATTTTGTGAACCTCCACCGACAGTCCAGTCATCGGGTTCCGGAGATCTCTGCAACCATCTGACCAACCAGACGCCATCACCTACGTGTGGTGGGAGTGCCTACGCACCAATATGAAAATCAGGTGCACTGCAGGACAACGTTTAACATTTTCCAACCAAAGGTTTCCGCGGTTGCTTGCTCCTGATTCTTTGCTACACTACCGGTTTCACCTTTATCTAGAGAGATGGCCGAACCTGAGAAGGGACATAGTGTACAACAGTTGACATGATCATCATCACCAATACACCTTAGCCGACGGTGAGAAACACACCTCATCTAATGTGCCGCGATGCAAAAAGGTAAGACATTAAACAATGTAGACTTAAAAGCTATAAAAAAGTGACATAATGCCAATATCACATTTTTAATAGTTGTTGAAGGGGAAGTAGAGGGAAGGGGAGGGACAAAGAGACACAACACAAACGCCACTGAAGTCGACTCTTCGCCATGTCAGCTAGTGTATCCAACCAAACGTGTTCATCATCCTTCGGTCCCCAGCCAGGCAGTCTGGAAACACCAACCGACGCCAACTTCGAAGTGAGGGAATTCATTCCTCTTGACCAAGTCATCGCCTGGCCTCCCCTCCTCCGCTTCCATCCACACCCGCGGCGCGCAAACAACGCACCTCGCGGGAGTCGGTGGGCTGACATGCGCAACAAGTGGCCAGCTATCAGAGCCTGGTGCGTGATATAATGGTGCTGAACGGTTCACTCACTCTTCCTACACCAAATACGCGACGCCGAACACGCTCATTGCTCGCGCGGTGCTCCCACCAGACATGAGCTAAGCTGCGAAAGCAGCAATGATCGAAGGTAGCTAACTTCTTTATGTCTGTCGATTTGATAGGCCAAGTTTTGCAGCCGTACAGGAGGCTTTAACGGACGGCCGCATTGTAAACTCTGCCCCTCAGAGCGAGAGTAATCTCACACCGGCGCCACAGGTGACAGAGGTTGACAAAAGCGCATCGAGCTTTTGCTATAGGGATTGTGATCTCGTCTTCCATTCCACTGGCGCTGATATGGCTGCCCAGATACTTGAATTTCTCGACGACTTCTAAATTATCACCGCCCAGGATCGCTGCGGGAGTGGGTCCCTGCCAATCTGAAAGAACTTTGCATTTCGATGGTGCAAAGCATAGCCTGAAACGACTGACACCCAGAGCGCAATGTCGTCGGCATACCCCGTTAGAAATCGTTCACCTTGGAGCAGCTCCACACCTAAGTCGTGCCTGGCGAACGCCGTTTCCATGACTTCGTCTATGGCGAGATTGAAGAGGAAAGGTGACAGCGGGGCAACCTTGTCTCACACCGCTGGAGATATTGAAGGACGTCGACAGCTTGCTCTAAACACTCGCTCTGCCCGAGCTACGCGCTTATAGCGCTCTGATAATGTTCACATATTTCTCAGGCACTTTTTCCTTAACAGACAATCCCAAAGGGCATACCAATCAACCGAATGAAAGACACCTTTGATGTCGGGGAATACGACTATGGTGAGTTGCCAGCGGTTCCCCAGTAATTGACGTAATGTGAACATGTGGTCAATGCTGGCTTGCTCTTCGCGCATCTGGCTTTCACGAGTTCCAGTCAGTCTATGGAGGACGACAGAAGCAAGCAACTTAGAGGCAATGGAGATCAGACTGAGTCATCTATGACTGCCGCATTCCGAATGAGAGCCTCCCTTGAAAATTGGGACTAAGACGGAGCGGCTCCGGTTTGTCGGGACAGTCACCTGCTCCCATAGATCCATTATACCTTTTCTTAACCATGTGAATTCATAGCGCTTTCAAATTCCTCATTAAGGAAATCATGTTCTTACAAGATGGTCCATAACGCTTTAAAGTTGAATCCAGCTGGCCCGAACTCCTAAATGAGTGACCAAATCCAAATAAGAAATTTCACCCCACTCTATATGCTCATCTGTTATAATATCTGCTTCTCTGAGATTGGTTACTCAGCGAATAGCACTTAATTTTTAGAAGTGTTTGCGCTCGTTTGATTCAAGCTGAAAGCGTTATGGACCATATTGAAAGATCTATGGAGGAACTTGAAAGCGTTATGGATTCAATTCGCTGAGAAACCGTATAGTGAGTCATGTAAATCGTCCGAAATAACAGGTCTGCGAAATTTGAAGAGGGCTAGATGAAATCCGTCTGCTCCAGCGGCCTTGGGCAATTTCAGCCGTCTGTTCTCCTGTAGGATTTCTGCGCGCTAGTGCGCATCCAAGGGAACGGCTCATGAAGTAGGCGCTCTTTAGCCGTTGGAGAAACTGGCAACTCTGACTGATTAAGCTGCTTCTCAGAGTGTTCGGCCCAACGCTCCAAATGTTTTGAAAAGCTGTGGATCGGCTCTCCACTTTTGTCGCGTCTCATCTCGCTAACACCATGTTTCTTGCTGCCCGTTTCTCGTATTAGTGGTTACCAAGGACAGCGGCCGTTTCCATCTCCGAGACACGATGAGATCACCAGGCTTCGCGGTCTCTTTTCAGGCTAGCACGTACTTTCGCTTTGAGAGCTTTGCGAGTGTCGTTGTATTCAATTCAACAGTTGACACCTTGATCATTAAAACACTGAGCTCAGGCAACGCTTGACACTCATGTTACAAAACTCAATCCTTCAAGGACAGGCGTTTATTCAGCAAAGCCAACTGAGCGAAAATTACACGACCCTTGGCAAGCTAAACTTCTTGATACAGATTGTCCGTTCATATCCCTAACTAACGACTCTTATGAGCCGATAAGGTTCCTCCTTTGAATCAGTTAAACAAACGGCAATTAACCCACACGAACATCGGCCAATCCGTGCTTCGTGATGGTATCTGTTACGTACTTCTTTCATCGGTTATCTAGCTCGCTCGTTTGATGCATCAATTCATTCTGATAGCGCACTCTCATCACAAACACAGGCTAAGGATTCATCATTGGGTTTTAGACCACACGCCGTAGGCCTGGGTTGCAACGCACAATCCCAATTCGGATCACGCTTTACACGTTGATCAACTTCTTGTCCAAACCTTTTGCCTTGATTCTGATTTTATCATCCACAAGGGTCATCGAGGCGTCACATGACTTGTGTTTGAACGAGTTTCCTCGTTGCACAACTGCGATTTTATGTTGCTTCTAAAAACTTACTTTCCCGTCATCTTGTTCCAGGTTGGCTTTTTAAAATGGAACTGTCAGATCCATCGGAGCTTCAGAATTTAATGGATCAAAAGAAGTACGATGCCTACCTAGTAGCCGAAGAATAACCTAATCTCCGGATTCCCCCTTTTTCCCTATTTTTGCATGATTTTTCTCGAATCAGCTGCACAGTCTATTACCTCTTACAACCAATTCGTATGTTTCCAGTCTGCCCAAACAAGAACATATGTATTATGAGTGGCGTTTTCCCTCTGCTTTATTCCAATTTGAAGTCGGTCAGGGCACCATACTCGTGCGAACCCCCACTTATGTCTGCTTTTTAGTTATATTGTCATGTACTCGGATGACCTTACTTGCAAAGCTGCGGAATTGGGATGTTTTAGTGGTTCCATTTCCCATAAATAAATCTAATATCAGCCTTCAGACACATGCTGCATCGGCCATCTCACGATTATCAAGGATCGCCTTATCTGCTGCATAGCGGATAAGCGAAAACATGCTGCTGTTGGTGTCTTCTTTCTTTTCCACGTGTTTCTCTTTCATCCCGACCCCCATTTCCGGCATCTGCGGAAGCCTGGTGGACCAAAAAGTGCTCAGCAAATGGGGGAGACAGAGAAGGCGGGTGATCAACACACTCTTCTAGCTGATTCGCACCACTGGTCACAGGAACCCGTGCGTCAGTGAGACACACATACAAAATAGGGAATGCCGTCTGGCCCGTGGCGCTGAGCACTCGGGAGCAGCTCAGATGGCCCCATACTTATGGGTCTCTTACTATTCAGGTGGTTCAGGCTGAGCCATGGCCGGTTAGTTTGGAGGCTCTATCGGCCCGTAGTCTAAAGGATCACAAGCTTGCCTCGTAATTCGGCGGCTAGGGTTCGAGCCTACGTAGGAGACCGGACGACCCTCGCGATATCCCTAGCGCATGCGCGACTGGCGGTGATTGCGCGGCAGCGAAGCGTCGGTACTGCGTGCCTGCTTACTGTTAATGGTTTAGAGACTCCATCGGAGGCCGACGTCCGAAACGCGCACACAACTCTTAATCTTTTTCGAGCTGCCTGTCCGGAGCCCCTTGCGTCCGCGGTATTTAAGGACGGAGATGAGTTCCCATGTAAAGTACTCAGATGTTTGACTGGATGTAGAATGGAGAGACCGTCTACAGCCAACTGGGTTGAATCGAACATGGTGGCAATATGTAAGAAGGGCGGTTACACCGTATGTGCTAGGCACAGGCGTATCAGCCTGACACAGGTGGTGACAAAACTACTGGTCTCAATCTTCTTCTGTCAGGTTACTGCGGAACGGAAATCTCGGATGAGGGGAGAGCAGATCGGCTTCCATTCAGCACGAGTTTGTGCTGACCATACATTCACCCTAAGGAAGTGCTAGGACAGTACCACGTAACGCGGACTGACGACGACTTTGCTCCTCGACTTAAATAGTGCGTTCGACAGCCGATCGACCCATTCTGTTCGAAATACTTGCTCGGAAAGTTGTTCCCATCAAATATGTGAATATTCCACATGTCCTGTAGTCGAACACCACATGTCACGACAGTCTATGGCTAATTGTTAGGTGCCTTTCTGACAATAGGTGGCGTTTGTCATGGTTGTCCAATTTCCTCGCTTTCGTTCAAAATTCTCATGGATTTTTCTATTGCACTATCTCATGATACTGACCTTGAAATGTTTCCTGTGGTAAAATTGGTTAGTCTTAATTATGAGAACGATATCGTCCTGCTCTTTGACAGACGCGTAGCGGCACTGTAAATCCTGGAGCGATCCTTTCATTGGTATGCGCTTCGCATCTTTGCAGGGCCACCGGCCACTTGATGAACGACTTTTGACAACGAATAACTAGAAGTAGTTGGCCGATTCCTTTACCTTGGCAGCTGCATCAGTATCGATGGGTGTGTCATCAGAAGTGGATTTCTTAATCCGAAAGACCGTGTATGAGAAGACACGGTGAGGACTATTCTATTCCATGTGAGTGAGACTTGACCCCTTTGATCCGAAGCACCTTCGAGTTGTGGATCATCATTGTGTACGCAGCATTGCGGGTCCGCAACGATGATATGTGCCTGCAAATACTAGGTGGTGATAGGGTAGTCCCTTACAACGACAAATAATGTTGAGTAGGTTGCTTTGGCTTGGCTACATGCTAGGTACGCCAGGTCTCTGCTTAACGTGGAGAACCTTGTTTTATTTGCTGTATGTTGGATGGTGCAAGGCTAGAAGAGGTTGGAGTCTTCGCGACTCACCTTGTGCTTGGTATGAAACGTTACAAGACATGATTTGCAGTTAGGACCTAATGGCGCATTTCCTGTCGTCTCCTGGTCGGATAGCATGTTTAACGTGTGCATGATGCTGAGTTCTATGCGAGGTAACAGCTGATTGTGAGGCGGAGCAGTGAAAGCCGCAAGGAAGCCGTCTCGCCAGTGCTGCCTTATCTTCACGCGATAGTCAGCTATTTGTGACGGTATGTTGTAACAATATGTAGGCACCTTCAGTCTTTGCATTAGGTCTCTCTTTCCCTTTTATTATTCTTCATTCCCCAGGGCACTCTGGTTGTACGACAGAAAAACATCGGTTCACACTACTGATGCACTGCTGTTGTTGATGGTGGTGACTTAGTCTGGGGATCCCATTTACCCTTTAAAGTGTGATTTCAATGACACACGCACAATTCCATACAAATGCCCTCGTTTCCTACTCGCGAATGATCTTCCTGCCTCAAACCTCCGTCGAGGTCTTTTCACAAGTCTTCATATATCTGGAGGCTTTCACTACTCTTCGTCACTCGTGGCATTAACGTGTTAATCTCATTCTAAAAACAGTCCTAAGTGGCTGTGAAACCTAGCTCACGGGTTTGACGTTTGCAAGTTATTTACGATTAACTTATTCTGCCTGCTGAGTATCGACAAAGCGCGATGACAACGTTGTGTCAGGCAGGTTTTCAAATCAGGAGAGCTGTCTGCGGTTGGTCCAGACAATTTTGCTCAGCATGCTTGATGTTTACTAGTATATATATATATTCAACATGACCATTGGTACACTTAGCATAGTACCACAACGTATGGAAAATGTAATAAACATAGGAAGATAGAGGGGAAGAAACGTTCATAGGAATAGTGAGTCACAACAAGTCCGCCATTGTGCACCATTTCTTGCCATATCTGAGAGCGTTTTCAGCCATGTGTGTTCCGAATCCTTCACACTCCAGCCAGGGAGTCGAGAGCGCCCGATCACGGCTAACTTTGACGTTAGCTTCTTCATGCTCCTGGCCTGATGTTTACTGAACAACTTCGTTAACTTACACTACTCGTGTGTGTGCCACTGTTGACCAGAAGCAATGTCAAATCGATCACCAGTTCAATCCTCTGACAACTCATCGCAATCAGACAGCGATCGCGCATCCGGAAAAGCGCTAGAGTGCCCTTTCCTTTTACTCGGCCTCGCCAGCAGCGCGCACTCGCCGGATCTTGCTCGATCCGAACATTTGACGAGTCTGTCGGTGCCCGAAAGCATTGCGCATTTGCTTTGTGATCCTGAGGTCACCGGTTCGATTCCACTTAGGTCCTGGCGATCTCGCGGTATATTCAGCCATCGCGCGACTAGTGGTGGTCGCGTCGCAGCGAAGCATCGGCAAGATGTACTAGTGTGTAGCTTATGCCGTCTCAGCGAGACTGGACCTCAACCTGGTGCAACGGTTTGCGTACCTCTTTGACCCATTGTGCTAAACTGGTTGGGGTCCTTGGGCCCCTTAAGAGCAACTCCTACCAGGTCTGCCAATGGTTAGAGGTCAGGCAAATAGTCTCCTAGTCCTCCAGGTTTAGGGGTTTGCAATGGCATGGCGTCCATTACTGTAAAACTTAAACACTACCACCTCCCTGTTTCCTTGCGGACAGACTTTTGAGCCAAAGGCTTTGGTTGTGGACCCTACTCGTCCTGTCTGTGTCTGGGTGCCCTGGCAGTATCTCAGCCCACATACAACCACCAAACGTTAATTACATCCTACATGGCTGTCGCGTAGATTATCAAGGGTCACCTTATCTGATGCATACAGCAGGGCGGATAAGCGAAAACATATTACTGCTGGTGCCTTCTTTCTTTTCCACCTGTTTCTCTTTCATCCCGACCCATATTTCCAACCTTTCTTCTATAATTCCCAGCTTAATTGACAGCAACCGAAGTGTCACTGCGGTAGAACCATCCGCAACACCCACAGAACGCCCATTGGCAAGTCCCTTATAAGGACACGCTGTCCCGTTTCCCTGGCGGCGTTCGCACTCTAAGCCAAATAGGCCAACAGGTTGCACTCAAACGCACCTTGGACACATTGGGTATTGACGTATGTTGTGTCCGAACATTGATGCTCACGGGGTTGTTGAATTAACTGCACCCAGCTTATCTTCTCGATATTGGTTGCACGCATCCGGAGACTCTGATGCAGCACTCACGGGTCAAGCCGGGGTAGGTATCATTCTCAACCCCAAGGCTGAGTCATCGTTGGTTGACTGGCTCCCAGTGAACAGCCGTTTGTATGCAGCCTTTTAACGACATCGGCCAAGGTTGATTCACGAATTAGTACAAGACGCTGTTTGTTTGTGGTTTCCGCTTATCTTCCTACCGACTGCAGTTCTGATGCTGCCAAAGACACGTTCCACCACCAACTGAACAGTGCTACCAGTTCAGATATCCTAGTATTTGCAGGGAATATGAATGCACAAGTAGGTCGCCTTGGCTCTTCCGAAGCTCAGCTGGATGGTACTTATGGGCTTAACTCCGAATGGACTGACAACGGCGAGCCTCTTATCCAAATGTGTGCAGAGCACTAGCTATTTCTTAGTAGCACTGCTTCTAGATACAGTGGGTGTCGAAGTGTCACTTGACGTCCTCCTGTAGTTGGCCATTAATGGACCAAAATAGGTCACATGGCTATAATTTACAAGTGACTTGGTTCCATCCTGGATTGCCGCTCGTTCTGGGGTACTTCCGTCGACTCTGATCTTACCTTGGTACGCTGTCGCTTTTCCATAAACTTTACCGGGAGGCGCACCAAGCATCCCCGATTGGCAACTGAGAAATTATCCCAGCCCTCGTTTAGGCAAGCCTACAAGAATGCACTGCGTACCGAACTTTCGCTCTCTTGTCGCCATGCACGACACAGGTGCATCTGCTTGTGGTACTGTCAATCGTCATCGCACCAGTCAGTGGATATCCGAGAGGTCGGTGAACTTGTTGGAATCTATGAGCACAATGCGACAAAACGGATTATTCGGCGCGAACTAATGCGGAACCTGCGCGCTGACATGGATGCCTGGTGGGCCAATAGGGCTCAAGAAATGGAGGAGGCGCGAGCAATAGGCAAGTATCGCAAGCTCTTCCAGCTGGTCCGCACAACCGGTCCCAGGAAA